TTGGCTACTGGCCTTTAAAAGGTAAAAGTACTTTAATGCCTATCAAAGTTTTAATGGAAAAAAAAAGTTTAGCACAGACCCAACAAATACATATATACTAATTATTAAGGTTTAAAGAGGAGCGGTTAGCGTGCACCTTTTCTCGCAAGTCCACGGTGATTCATTCTGGTCACAGTTCATTGACTGGTAATATGCTCAGGAAATCACTATGATTGACCTAATCTTAGAATGCTCATTTTAAAATGATATGCGAAGTACCTGTTAAAAAATAGAAAGCTACATATGAAACGCCCCTTTTTTTTTTGGCCGAGCGATACACAATTCAAATTGTTTCTATGTTTTAAAATTTTCCGTAAAAATTCTCTAACGCTTTAATTAATAATTGGCTATATTGATTTCTTATATATATATATATATCAGTTCAGATTGAGATCTATTTAGTGTAGTTTGCATTAGAGGAAATGCTTTCTTACTAAAGTCTCTGATTACACCTGGCCCTCCTTCGTGCTAAATTGTTTCACCCTTTATATGATCACTCCATCATATGGAGGTTTCTTTAAAGTGTTTGAATGACTACAAAGGATAGCTTATTTAAAGGTCCTATATTATTAACGCATAAACTTTTAGTCGACAAAGAAAATGATGTATAATGCCTTTTACATTAAGGCGAGCCGTATACTAAGAATGTAGTGACAATAAGGCCACAATATTTCGGATTAAAGCTTAATATCTCCCAAATCGTCCTTGCAATGAATCTGGGCGTCCAAAGATCTTGAAAAACGGTGATGTAGCCCAACTTGTACAAAGTGACATCAATTACAATTCAGTCTGCACAGAAAGCTTCAAAAATCACAGAAACAACATTAGATAGACTAGTTTCATTCTGCTGGTTTGCTTGCGATAAAAAGTTAATTAAACCCGCTTTGACGGGCCACCACAAGCGACTACGGTTTGAGTTTGCGAAGGTATGAAAATTGGTTCATTTTTGAGTGGAAAAAGTAATTTTTTCGGACGAGACCAAGATCAATCGATATGGTTTAGAGAGTATTAGATGATTATGCAAGCGATCATGTCATAATTAACACTTAAACATCTGGTGGTGCAAAAGTATTTAACTTGGAGGACGCCGATTATGATTTAGTCGCCTCTAAAGGGGTCACAATTTAGAAAAAGTCACTCGGGACATTATCTGATAATGCCCCATGCCACGCTGTACCATTGGTTTGATCACGGCTCCAAGTACTAAACGGGCCTCCGCAAACTCCTGATATCAGTCTCGTTAGGCATGCATGGGGAATCTTGAAGAGGAACTTGGGAGCATAGGGGTCAGCCTGCTAACTTAGACGAGCTTTAGACTCGTGTACAATCAGAATGGGAAAATATAACACCGGAACAATGCTACATTCTGCTTACCAGTATGCCAAAGAGGACACAAGCAATAATTCAGGCAAAAGGGGGCTATGCTACTTATAAAAACCTCGTTTATTAAAATAATTTTTATTTTCGTTCAAATAGTAGTGGTCTCTCAAACTTAACATGCTCGCATCTCTTCCAAAGTTAAGCCACTATAGATCAAACAGTTAAAAAAAGGTAGCTAGAAAATGAAGTTTACTGTGTATAAATTTTAAAGCATTCCCTTACCTTAACGAAAAGGTATTATAAAAAAAAAAGCAAAAAATATGCACAATTTTGAACGATAGTGTATAGTACAGACTTGCCTCTTTTTATCTCGGTATTATATTGGGTTATAAACAAAAATTAAGTACACTTTATCTCTTTATCTATTTAATCTATTAAGACTTAATAAGTTCAATGAAACTATTGTAGTTGGAACTTACCTGACTTAAACAGTTTACGATAGAGAATTCACAAATTTTTATAAATTTTGCTAATAGTGAGATTACAAACGCTGCGCGACGTTGAGGCGCGTTTAGAAGCGATTAATAGAAAATACCTTCACTTCCACTTCCCCTATATTAAACTTTAAGGTTTCTACTAAAAGATATATGTAATTTTTAAAAAACCTCTTCTATAATGAACAGACTTAAAATTTAAGCAAGAAACACATCCTTTTATCACAGCGAATGCTTTTTAGAAAAAACATTATTCTCAAGGACAGTCATCTAAACTTAAAATCTGTTTAACCCTTTGACGGGCAAAACTCGGGCTCAAATAGATCTGTTTTACGTTCACAGGTAACTAAATTTACCACATTTTTATGTTTTGTTGGTTGCTGCCTAAACCTTAAGATCATGGTACTCAAACTTACCAGAATTGTTTCAGAGACCGAGCCTGTCGTTTAGAGTCAATTTCCATAGACCTAAGCTTGCAAACTGACCCTAGGCGACAAGGTGGTAAGATAGGAACCGGTATCCTAGGGTCGAATTTCCTTTTAATATTAACGATGGTGAAATCCGATGTTTGGCCGTCACGGTGCTTGGTTGTAAAAAACTGAAGTTATGACCTCGCGGGGCAGCAGAGGCGACCGCTGAAAGAAAATGCTTGGGAAGAGCTCTACTTTCATAAAATATTAATAGAAGTTAGCAGGCAAGATTATAATGACCTCAGTACAACTAAAAAAAAATTTGCGAATTGCTATATAGTTTTTTATATATTAATATTTTTTAGTCTTTGCAATTTATTATAAATAGAAGATTTTTTAATAAATTATTACATAACCTGTGCATTCGCTAAACAGTATTTAACGCTAATTTTAGGCTCAATGACCAAGAGTTAAAGTTAACGAGAGTAGCACCAGTCAGCTTGTGTAACATGAGTGGGTTATCAAATCTTTCTTCGGTAATCACACTACGTAGTTGTAACTATTAAAAAAAAACTTTTGTTAACTACTTGTCTAACAGAGAGGCTCTTTTTCAAAGTTGGCTTCAGAAGCTTATAAACAAGCTAGGATACTACAAGCGAAACCAACCGAAGCTTTAGAGACTGCTCGAGTAAAAACCTCTGAAGATTTTTTAATATCTGAAACTGAACAGGTCCACTGGTGTATAGCCTTCGATGAGATATAAAATAACCGACACTTTATTGTTTAAAGGGAAGAAGTGACTACTTATATTGAAGCTCCTTATGGCAGTTACTATATATTAACTATCGTCTGACAAGAAAAAAAAAGTTATAACGTTGAAAATTTAATTTTGTATAGACATTGTCACACTTGAACAGAGTACAAAGGATCAAAATGAATGTTCTGTTTCTCGAAACACAAAGTCTATTACCACAAAGTTATCGAAATACTTAATGAATAGCGAGAAAAAAAACTTCTCGACTTAAAATGTAAGTTGAAAGCTAAAGATTTTAAAGAGGACTTGGACATTCCTTTTATTAAAGGTAATTGTGGTAAACTAACAGAGCCACTTTCTGAAAGAAAACATTGTGTAAATTTGTAGCCCTTCTCTAACACGCAAAAAAAATGCCAAAGAGGTAAATATTATTAAAGAAGAGGGCCTGGCTCAATTAATTGGTAGCAATAAAGCCAAGAGCACCTTTTGTCATTTAAAAGAAGACTTAAAAACTTGTACTATTTTAAAAAATCATAATAAACTGAGAAGAACAATCCCTTTAAAAGCAATACTACATACACTCCCGATCTCTAAAAACTTATAAAGGAGCAACTCAGTTGTACAAATGGCACAGATGAGGTCTAGTGCAGAAGGGGCGCCTCAACTTTCTCAAAAGTTTTTTTAAAAATTAAAATGCTATTTATGACAACGTTCTTTGAAATATTAATGGTTTCTGTAGTAGCAAATTAGTTGTGCTGCCTACAACATTATGGAATACAACTTGAGTTAAAATTTAATTGTTCTTGTGACTCAAAATAAAATTAACGCAAAGCACAATCCAGAAGAACAAGGCGGTAACGTCTATATAAAATCAGCGGAGTCGGCCGTCAATGCAAAGCAACAGTCGTACCGGAGATCTCCGCAGGTTTAGGAATGCCCTGCAAAATGTTCTCGGAGCGGCGGATAAAGGTTGACTCAAGCCTCGTTAACTTCACTCCCGTAATCCTCTTCACTAATAAAAAGTTAGAAAAAGTTTTGACCAACGCAGAAACTTTGCAACGCGTGTGTGAAACTGTAAAGCGCGAATTACTAGAAGCTAAGGTCACCATCAAGTTGCTAAAAAAAAAAAAAAAGTGGAAATAGTGGTGCACTAAAAGCAGGCGAAACTGAAGAAACTCTCACTCATGAGGTTATTTACGGGAAACTTTACTCGCTGGCTGGTCTATAATTCCCGCTCTACAGAACACGGCAGCTGAAGAATTAGCAACCACGACTCGGATAATCGAAGAACCGACCGCGGTGAAGTCTCCGTCCTCTTCGTTTCTCCGCATGTCTCGTTATATAAAAACTATTTTAAAATAAATTGTCAAAATTGGAAGAATCCAAAAGAAGCAACCAAGGTAATTTGCAAAAAGGCATTAAAACACTGAAAGCAAAAAAAATTGGTACAGGAGGAGGCAAGAAATAAAATTGTAGTACTACAAAACCTCTTAAATAATCCTTTCTAAAGGATATTAAGACTTTAGAGTTTTGTATTGAACATCTCAAAAATCTCCAGACCTCTACTAAGACCACTCAACGAGCAAAGAAAAGACATTTTTGCTGAACTGAACTTTTACAAACAATAGGACCTCCTGCAGAGCCAAACTCGATGCTGTACTTCTTGAGGTCTCCTTTCGTTAATAAAATTTCTTTAAATTTTTTTGTTGTCATTTAGTCAAAAGAAAAAGAAGAGGAATCAAGCCGTCAAGATGAGCAAATCGCACAAAGCAAGAGAGTCATAACCGACCTAAAGCTTCAAGTAAAGACCGACGCAGAGCACTTAAATCTATGCTGGGCGCAGTCGAGGTAAGCTTGAAGCAAAATACACAGCTGGAGCAGAGATACAAAGACTGGGTGCATCTCTTTATTAAAGGCTCGCCTTATTTAAGCTAATTATTTAAGCTAATTCTTTTATTATTAAAATTAAAGGAGTCTGAGCTTTTATCATACAGAGACCCACACAAGAATAAGCTCCTCGTTCTGAAAAAGAGTCTCACCCACGCGCAGGGTCAGTATCAAAACTGCAGGTAATACTGCGCTGCGCTACAAGAAAAACTGCACTCCAAAATAAAGTACACAAATTTTTTCTAATCGAAACGAAGAGGATTATGAGTCTCATCGACCAATACCGGTCTAGTAAAGCGCGTCACATTGCATAACTACACAGGCGATCCTTCTTATAGATGCCCTCCCTCAATACTAGCAAGCAGCTGCTCAGCTGTTTCCAGGCGGCTTAATGCAAACATCGCCAACGAGCTCGCAGCAGCGAAGGATGCGGTAAGTAGACTAAACAAGGAGCTGGCGGGTAAAGCCGTCAGGAGTATTACTTTCTACAATCACTAATTAACGCTCCGCACGCTTAGGGAATTCCAAAAGCGCCATGAAATTTGCTTGAGCTGTACGGAGAAAAGATAGAGGAAGTTAATGAAGTAGGAATGGACAGAAAAGATATGAAGGAAATATACCAGCAACAAATAATTGAGCTTGTTTCACAATTGTCTGCGAGCCGTTCATCAGATAATTTTGACTTTCGCTAAACAAATTTTTATTAAACTTTTAATATTCTATAATAATGCTTATAGTCAAGTGCTTTTCAACTGTTCCCTAAATCTTCTTACTGAAAGGTATCTCTCTCGGTACCTGCCAAAAATGTGCAGCAGGGCATTCAACAATATCCACCGGACGGGAAAAAGCAAAAACGATACCGTCCGGAAGTGGGATCAATGAAAAAGGGACCAAAGGCCTTTAACTTATTATATATAAGCCTGGCGTTCTCCTTATCCACACTTTTTTTGGACTGTGTTTCGATTGCCGCTGCAATGGTGTTAGAAATAAGCGCAAACAACCCTTTTTCCTCTTTGAAGAGATCGCAAAAGTAGCTATTATTGATAAGGATTAAACAATGAACTCCACTATCAAAAGATAAACACACTTATCTATTTTTTCTTTTTCTTCAAACTCTCTCGAGGCCAACCAGACGCACGCAGCCCCAATTTGGGCCGGTGAATACAAGAACATTAAGTTCGTAAAAAGTGAATACTCGCAAAACCTTAAGGATAATAAACGCAAAGCCTTACATATTTCTAAAATCCCTACTTTGAACTTAACTCAAAATGATAAAAAAGAGTTCAGATATATATAAAAACGTATACAGATAAGTCAGCCAATATCCCGTCTATGGAACCCATTGGATGCAGTATTTGTAGATGAAAGTGAAGCTGCTCCACGACTATAATCTCAAGATCCAAAATAACTTTAAAATATTTCTCGCGGGTGCCGTTAAAATGAGCAATTTGAAGAAAAGTATCGAGATCTTTAGTTCTTTCTTCAGTTTTAAAGGCGAGGAATATACAAGTGTACCTGAACAAGGCGTGAAGCAGTTATAGAAAGGATAATAGTAATAAACATATTAACGTGCTGTTCCAGTATATAAAAAAGTTATAAACTTACATAATGTCTTGTAAAGGATAGTCCATGCAAGAATTATGTAGAAAAAATCTTTTAAAAAAGGCTATTGCTGTGCCAACAATCTTAAGAGGGGGTGCTACTTTATCTTGTTTTCTATAAAGTTGACAAATGTCTCTCAACTTAAGCTCGTAAAATTCGTAAAAAACTTTCTAGGTTAAATTAGTTATAAGGTATACCATAAAGTTAAAACAGCTCAACTGCAAAATAATAGAATTCCAGCAAAAAAACAATGAAAAAAAAGTAAAAGAACCTCTTCTGTGGGAGTAAGAAACTCAACTTTGGGCTTAAGTTTATCAAATTCGCAAATATGATTATCATCATAGGTTCTCAATGCCGTAGAGTATTGTTCTACCTCAACAGAGTTTACTCTTTGTATTTCCCTATCTTTCTCTATAGTCTCCTTAATCCTTTTAATTGCTGAATCGTTGGCTTCGAATCTACACATATCAAGTTCATTTTGGCACTTAAACGTCCAATACTCTTTCTGAGTACTCGTATGATACTGCATTATACTGCGAATTTACACAACAAATCCTACCGCTCTTTGCTGGCGTAGCCATCATAGATGTCTTAACCTTTAAGCGTACAAAAGTTAGTTCCCTCAATACAATTGTGCACATGGTGGTATTTTTCAGAATCCAGAAGTTGGCTACAAAAAATCTAGGAAATAAGTTGTACGCTTGCTTTAAAAATAATTTAATTATGAAAAGCGTGCTTGTGATAAAGTTTGCGCTAACTAACTGTAATAAGTAATTTATATTAATAGTTGAGGTAGTATTTCGCATTGGTTTTTAGCTGTAGTAAATGCTACCGTAATATGAGTTTAGAGAATCTTTTAGAGTTAGCTCCGTGCGGGTGTGTTACCCTTTACTTGTGAAGACTTACTAAACAGATATGGCCAGACTGTGCGTACGTTTTCAAAAATCTTAGCATGTTATTTCGGTCGGAAGGTAAGAAGCTAGCGAGGTCCTGCCTGTCTTCAACTTTCCGAGTTGACTTTAGGAAAGGATTATTATACTTAGTGTTTTTAAAGCCATCGCGATTAACTTGAATAATTTTGTCTCCTGACTTTCTTTAAATTTCTGAACGTGTTCTGGAATTATGCATAAAGCGTTATTTAAAGCAATCTTTAACCTCTATAACTTTTTACTTCTTCCTTTGACTTATATTGTCACAATACGACCCCTCAGAAGAAGAAAAAATCAGCGTAAACATCAACTAAAAATTATAAAATTAATTCTCGTTTGTCAGTAGGAATCTTTTTAGCTTCATTATCTTTAAAATTATATTAAATATACTCCTACATTGTACATCGTTGAATCGGAAGACATTTGTAAATTTATTGAGTATACTTAGCAGTTATAGACATCTCAAGGATCTTATAAAAAGGATTTACCTAATTTTAAAGCTTACTTAAGTTTATTGTGGCTAGCAGGACAATTTATGTTTATATAACATGGGGAAAAGTTACTCGTGCCGACCAAGGATGGTAGTTTCAATTTTACAAACTGTGTGTAACTAATTATGATTAGGTCAAAAAGAATATACTTGTTTGGACTCATATTGCATTCAAAACTGCTTGTATTCCAATTCTAGTTGATACTAATAACTGCAAGCCGCTTAAAATAATAAAATGCATAACTTTATTAAAGAAAGAAACTGTTAGCCTTTGCCTTTATAATCCCTGCTATAATTTAGTAGTAATATTCGCTTGAGCATCTTCCAATAAACAAAAACTTTTAGCTAGAAATGAACAAAAGTTGTTTTTGGTGGCAAAAAAAAAGGCTGAGAGTCAAGCAATATATTATTGTTAAATGAAGGAATTTATTTTAAATTAAGTTTTTACAAAACTACAGTTCTTCTTTAGCGGCATTAAAGGGATTTAAATTTTCTTTTATAACCTTAACCGTTCTCGCCTCCTCGTCTAACTTCTTCCACTCAGAGAGAATACGGGTTGCTGCCTGAAGCTTTGGCTCTTTAGTGAGAGGATTGTTGCACTACACATACAGTATTCAATTTAGTCGGGGTTAAACTACGATTAAGAAACTTCACCAAGTCTATAGTTTTAGCCTTTTCTTTGAGCTCGTCGCTGCACCACGTCTCGCACCAGAGCCATTCTTGAGGTAAGTGGTAGATGGGAAGCTCGTGTTGCATACTGTTGGGCAAATCTACCAGGGCAAACTGGTTACAACGTGTAGAAAGCAAGCCACGCGACACACTGCGGGCCACCTTGGTCCAGATTCGCGAGGCTGTTAGGATCAGCCGAGAGAAGCTGGTAAGTTTGCCGCAACCGATCACCGGCGGCCAGTAGACGGAAAGTGACCAGGTCAACGACGTAGAGGGCGCTAAAGAAAAGGAAGCCTCCCGATAGCTGAGGTGGACTGGCGATGGCCAGTACAAGAACCTGATGTGGTAAGGCAGACCCGCAAGTTGCTCCCTCCAATAGCCCCGCTTCCAAAACCGGAATCTGTCCATTTCCTTCCGGTCGTTACAAAAAGGCGTGTATGCATAGGGGGCGCCTGTTTAGAAAAGGTTCATAAAGACGCGCTGAAGAGAATAGAAAGATACCCTTTAAGTCTAACTTCATCAGTTCCTTCAAGTCCGCCCTCACGACTTGATCGGCATCCACAAAAATGATCCTCTTCACTTCTAACGGAAAGAGGACGTCCAAGAACAGTATCTTGTAGCTGAGACGAGAAGTATGTGAAACAAGGCGGAAGTCACGTGATAGGACAACTACGCACCCCCATATGGTTCTCTGCTTTTCTGTTTGAGAACGGAGCCAAGCGGGCCACTTATACGTTACTAAAGTATAGTCAAAGTCGAATTTCTGTGCCATTATCGGAAGTGTTTTCTAGTGAACAATGAGAACAGAGTTGCTGAGTTTTTTACTTTATATGCAAACCTTGAAGGTGGGGCTCAAGAAATCTTCTAGAAGCCAGAACTTGACGGGGCTTAGAGTGTTCTTCACTACACTTATAAGCATGATAGACAAGAGACGTTCATACATGTGGCCCGATGCAATTGAGAATATATTAATGATTTCATCCTTTTCGGAGGCACCTAACGGGCAACTTGTTCTCTCTTAGAACGGACAACGCCTTAGCAGAACTACCCAACGATAGTATGGTTCGCCAGAGGGACAGGGGGGAGCTCCCAATGGTGGCGGGCCGCTCCAGCAACTGAGCATCCTCATATCCGGGATTCTTTGTCACCTCCAGGAAGCCCAAAACAAGCATGTACGGCGAGGGCGGGAGCAACTCCGACCGACACTTATATACCGTAACAGTAATAATAAGCCCAGAAAACTTCGCCACTCTGAGAGGGAGAGAAGGGTGCGTCTGCTTTATTTGATAAAGTTGACTAGAGCGACCAGGGCACAGTCTTAAAGGAGAGACGAGACCCAGAGAATTAGACCAGCTAATGAGCTTCGACCAAGAAGTAAAGCACCAATCAGACCTCAAATACCAAACCCCCGGGCCAGCCTTGAACTGGAAGTAGCCCAGATTATGCATGACCAGCGTATCGTGTAGGGCTGGTTGGTCAACTGTACCTTCGGCCGCAGAGAGTGGAGAGTGGAGAGCGGAGTAATATGAAACAAGCCTACCCAATTGGAGTTGCAATCCGCGCGGAGGCTCATCCGATTCGTCGTAGCAGTGGCCTGATGCAGCACGCCACTCAAACAAACTCGTATTGTCTTTTAGCGCGTACCTTCAATGAGCAGATGTTTCGGCTCAAAAACTGCATAAACTGTTGTCTTGTTGAGATTCTCCATGTGCAAATTGTCCAGGTCAGCAATGCAATCGACAGCACGTGTATCCCATGACACTTATACCCATCCCCCAAAAAAATTTTCTCATGAGCAAATTAACAATGGGACTTAAAAAGTCGAATCCTACTGGGCACATCGATGTTTAAGGAGAAAAGGGGCTTCCGTGGGACCTTGAGAAACTCAGCGACGGGCCCCATGATACTACACAACAAGAAAGGATGTAATTCAAACAATAACATAAAAATATAGACAACCACCTGCCATTTTTATAAAATGAGGGACGGCAGGATATGGAATAGCGATAGATAGTTGTGAGCGGAAGCTAAACTCGGTAAACATTACAATCGAAAAGCAAACAAGAAACAACTTACCGAGTAAAGTTTTTCCTGTGGAAGTAAAATTAGTGTTATCTTCGGATTATAGTTGGCCTTCAATTCCTAAAAGCCTCTCTAAAAGCAATTTGATAAGGGTCACAATAAGCAGATGTCTACTATCAAAAGTGGAGCGAGTTTTTGGGCCTCCCGAGAAAGCGGATCCACGACAACTTCGAAATGAAAGTTGTCCCGCCCAACTAGTTCGTAGCCGCTTAAAGGTCCGGTAAAGAAAGCGCTAAACAGAGAATATTCAGGAAACCTGTAAGTGGTAAGCAACGAGGGCGGTAAAGACACACGAGGTGTATTCTGGCGAGCCAAAGTCGTGCTCAGACGAAAAACCGCATCCCTTAGGAGGTGCTTAAATAAAGCAGACAGGGCCAGTTCAATACAGCTTTCTATTACGTGCTAACAAGATGGCTAGGAATTATATGCTTCAGTGCTGCCAGCGTTTTCGAGGCTTTTTTGTAAAGGTAGTCGATGTCGGCGAACCGCAGACCATGTGTACCGATTAGCGCCATCTAAGAAGTTTGTGATAAGCAACGCGGCGTTTTGTGCGTGGCAGCAAGCGTAGACCTCGTTGTGAACGATTATAACATGTGGTGACGGTCTTCGCGGGGGTGTGTAGCCATTCTAAAAAGAGCAGGCGCTACATTGATGGCCATTAAAAGTATGGAAGAAATAGAGACTGCCGTTTTGAGAGCTTCAGCAAATTTAATATGATTTTTAAGAAAAGTAGAAACGCGAGTCTTCAACGTATAAAGATTGTTTTCCGCCAAATCTTGGTCGCGTGCCAGACTTAAAAAGATATGAAAAGACAACACACGCGTACCTTTTACACAGGCAACTAAGAGACCGTGAAGCAGCGCCAGCTCAGTTTCTTCTCTTATAAGTTTAAAAGAACCAATAACAAGCTTTTCCATGGTTGCATCAAAGTTTCCTGTCGTCTACAAAAACGACAAACGGCACATTAACCGGAGCGACTGCGACACAATATACTTCATGCGATGGTTGGAGGGCCAGTCGAACAGAATGGTTGTTTCTCGTCTAAATGTGCTTGTGGGAGAAGTAACGTGCATGCAGCTCTATAAATATCGTCACTGCAAAAGTGAAAGCTTCCAGTAGAGTGTAGAGTCCCGGCAGTGTCGAGATGTCCGCCACTACAACAATGGACAAGCAAAGACTTCCTTGGGTGCATTCTGAAGCCCCAGCGAAGGTGAGTGGATAGGAGATTTACTATGCACAGCGGGAACTACTTACGGTTTTCGTTTAAGAAAACGAGGGCATCCGGTTCGAAAAATTCCGGCTGCGCACCAGAAATTTGGAAGAATAAAGTATATCCAAAAAAATAGCAAACAGACCTGGAAATCCTCGTTTTCAATACTTTTTTTAAGTTTATAAAAGGATTTTGGCTGCGTTTCCGGTAAACGCATAAAGAAACTGTACACGTCGTCGTTATCAGAAAGCTCGTGTCTGCTGTACGCTTTGAATGAGAGTGAAGACAAGCAGAGCTGAGCAGCGAAGAAATAACTACCATTTAGGCAAAGTTGCTGGTCGGCTCTGATTGCACCGAAGAGCACGTGGTCCAGAGTTGAAAGTTCCACTGGATAGTGCTTACCATTTACGTATCTGTCCATGCCCATATGAGCAAGTGGCTCCCACATGAGAGTAAAAGGGCTACATTGCATTGAAGTTCAGATCCTTTCGATGCAAAAAATCATCTTCCTCAAGTCGGCTTCGTGCACACTGGCTTTTCCCGTACAGAATTTCTTTAAAATGTTCTTCTTTCAGAAATATAAACTGCTTAGATATATATTAGCTCTGCTGTTTGAGAAACAATGTTGGCCAATAAGAAACGGTCTTATACCCTTTTTGAAAACTTGAACAAATCGGCTTCCGTGAGGTTTCTTATGTCGACTGTAGCATAATGCAACTGAAACCCCGCCGATAATAAGATTTTCAATTACCAACTCAACTAACGTACGTCCAACAAGAAGCGGATTGAAGCAGCCACCCCTTTTCTTTCCGCCAAAAATTTGATTATGCAAATAGTTTTTGTCTGGATAATCATGAGTAAAAGACTCAAAGAAAAGAATGATTTAGAGAAGGGACCTCCATCTCCGCCCACGTGTTATTAGCAACGGGAAGTGTTACCGCCTGCATGAGGTAAAAGAGCTCCAGAAGGCGGGCTGCAGCGGTACAAGGCAAGAAGGCTTACCGTAGAAGGTCCGGACCCGAAGGCGGAGATATGTAATTGACTGTGACTTCTACGGTAGAGTGGGGTTCAACCAATAACAATATGTGCAATAAAAATATTGAAGGACGCGTGAAAACCTTGATGTCCCAAGCAACACGCCCATTCGTACGAGCACGCCCATCGAGAAGTAGCTGTAGGAAAATATGCATGCTGGCTACCATTAACTACAAGAGGACTTACTTAAAGAGGTAAGAGAGGATTTCCACGGCGCGTTGGTCTAAAGGGTTCAGCACAAAAACAACAGTAACAATATTCCTTGCAAGAGGGCGTAAACCGCCTTTCGTGCTATACTTCAGCTAAGAATGAGTACTCAGTATTCATTAGATGAGCAACATTGACGCAAAAAGGCGTGCCATTTCTAGCGATCTTGGAAATCTTGAATACTGCGGATCTTTTTCTAAATCGTTAATAAAAAGCACTCGAGCGCCTCCCAAGTCAACCCTCTCGTTCTTTACTGCAGCATCACTAAGCGTTATGACGCCGTCCAATACACCAACATTGAACCTTCTACAGGATCCACAGGCGAATATAAATATAAAAGTCTTCTCAGACAGTCGTGAGGAATGCCCAGTTCAAGAAGCGCTTGTGCGATTTTGAAGTCAGCGCGAATTTCCGAGGAGATTCTAGAACAAGCCCTTGTACTTTAAGAGCTCTGAATCCCGTAAAAGAATACGCAAAGGGGTCCACGCCACGAAGCCGCTTTCCGTTCAGAAGCAGCAAAAAGGAGACGTCCCCGATGAAAAATTCGCGCAAGATGGCGGCATTCTGTCTAACCTCCGCTTCTAATTTCTCCTTAATCTAATAAGATCGCCACGTGATGTTCAGGGTAAAAGCATGGCGCTGCTGCGCTGAAGGAGACCTTCAATCCCCCGAGGGAAGGAGCTACTACCGGGAAATTCTGGCTTATGCACTTTAACTTTTCGAGGAAGTCCCCGCGGCTGTCTGCAATCCGGGTAGCAGCTCGAATGCCCAACTCTGTAGAGATTTTACGAAAAGTGGCAATCATAACACAACGAGGACCATGCAGATACTCGCAATCTGGGAAGTCTTTAACGGAGGCAGTTCGTCCATGTGGTGAAGCGCCTCGGGAATGTGCTTGAACTAAACGTGGTAGCCCGTTCACGTGGCTTGTGAACCCACTTTATAAAGGAAGCAACGTGATAACCTCGTCGGAGGATGGCTCCTGCACGACTCCGCTTTCCTCCCAACCATCGAAAGCAGCAGTGGCCCCTTCTATAAAGAATAGTTTTACTACAAAGAAAGAAGTACGCGCTTGACGAAGCTACGCGATTCGTCCATATCATTCATGGCCTTGTACTCCATACTCTTGACCAAAAGTTCAGTGCCAAATGCGGACAAACGAATTTGTTTGAAAGACTTAGATTGATAGTGGCTACGGAAGCATATAAAAGGCAAAGAAAGTGTATAAAAGCTGTACATAAAAACCGAAATATAAAAGGAAGATTGTTTGCATTCATTAACAAATCCAGAAATATGTGGAACTCTGGGTTAGTTAAGTCTCCGTACAACACTGCCAGAGCAAAAGCCTGTTCAGGATCTTTTTTTAAAAAGAGGCCAAACAGTAAAGCCAAAATAGACAATTATGCAGCGAAAACACTAATATATAAAAAAGGCAACTTTCGTCCTTATAAGGAGGCCACAAGTGGTCCTGGACTTCAACACTAATTTCTTGAAAGATTCTTAATCAATGTAATGTAATTAGTTACAGTATCGAATTTTTAAATTTACTATATAAGTAGTGCAAAAAGACTAACAGAGTTCCTAGAGAATAATTTTTAAGGTAAAAGTTTAATTCCTTCACTTCGCAAATTAGAACCCAACGGGGGCCCTGGTTTTTAGGATGTCCAAGGTTAAACGAAGCAAAAGTAGAACAGTTCTTTTGCATTCTATAGGAAAAATCTGTAAGTTAAATTAATATACAGAGAGTATAAGGGTTAATAATTACTGGGTTCGCAAAAGTTTTCGACCCGTCTCGCGTTGTAGTTCAACAGAGGGACTAAATTCCCTTAAACCTAAGGCAAGATCAAGAGAATCGAGAAGCTCTTCTTTATGATTAATGATATTAGCCAAGTAGCTTGACTTTAAAAAATTAAATTGGTCTGCAAAATATAATAATAAAAACAAATGAATTGTAATAACATAAGAAAAACGGCGACCATAATCTGTAGAATTTGCTTCTAACTTCTTAGTTGCCTTAATAAAATCCCAAAACTTCCTCGGATATAGCTCTGCTATGAACTCACTAAAGAAGTTAAGAGAATCTAGGTAACTCCCTTCCGCTACATACCTGGCTTCAGCAATTAGTGAAGTATGAGGCCAGTAGGTTTGAACTAAAGTCTTTATTTGCCCTGAAGCTTCTAAAGTGCCAAGAACGACCAGCTGCCAAAAGAAAAGCCCAAGCATTATACTATATGGCTTATAGTAAGCAAAGAAAATAAAACTATTGCCTCCTATTAAATAATATACAAATATATATATATTCTGATATCGTCAAGGCCAGGTGCACGCACCGATGTCAACCAGAACTCTCTGAAAACCCTCACCACATATTGTTAATTCGCGCTGAGGTTATTGTAAACTCCTAAGATTCTAGTTACAAAACAGAAGAAAACTGGAGTATACTTTGACACCGTTAGTAGTATAAAGCAGAGATTTAGCCATGCAGCTTGAGCGTCAAAAACCTTTTGTAAGGCTTTTGAAATGTCAAGTAAACAGCATTTTTACTTTTTAACTACCTAAATTGTTCTCCATGTTTGTAAAATTTCTCTTCACGCTAAGCGTGGGCTCCTTATTTAAAAGGGAAGACATCATTCTTTAAAAAAATATCGAGTTTATTCCAACCTACACCATCTTAAAAAATTGTTAACAATTTAAAGAAATAAGTAATGTCGGCATGTGGTAGATCTTAAATTGAATGCAACTTTTCTGGTTCGAGTCTGCTCACCCAGGAAATATTTATTTACTAATTTGGAAAAAAGTGATAGTACGGATAATATACATTGAACATGATAAAATGTAAGTTAAAATAAACTCTTTCAATAAAATAAGGTGGTGTGTGGGCTCGATACCTTAATAGATGATTGCTGCCCCCTTAGTGTGACTATGCACTCTTTAGCCTGGTGAGAAGTTAGTTATAGCACATTTACACAAGTACTATCACACTCGAAATCAACACTATAAAAAAATTAGGTTGATACGATATACTAAATTGAGAGCGAAATTTTTTATATGATTATTATCTAATAATTATGTGAAACTGAATTGGCCGGTTATTGCATATCTGATGACGCATAAAAAACATTTATTCTTGAAATCAGTGAAGGTACTTTTTATTTTTAATTAATTCCCTCAATCTCTATCAAGGATAGATGTGTGATCTAGTTTTTGCAACTACAATTTTCCACTCGGTTATAAGTCAGTCTATTACTAAAAAGAAAGCTTCTTATCCCCAATGCTTCTTATTCCCAATGTATCGAAAGTTGGTAAAATTCAAGTTGCATTAACTCGATTTGATTAAATTATAAAACGAAGTATTTCTAGATCCTATACAAGTGCAAATTAGAAGAAAAATCTTTTTTAAGGCAAAGTTAAGGTGCACGAACTTAATAAGTTTTTTAAGTAAACCTGGTTTCGTAATATAAATCAAGGAATTGAAACATGTCATTGGTTGATGTAGCCTTTAACAAGCAAATGCGAATGGCTAAATCCCTAAAATTACCCTCTCAGTCAAAGTGGAGTGCTTAATCCTTGTCCGACCAAATGTTGATTGCGGTACTAATTGTTTAGATAAAAATATGACAATTATAACAACTCTCAAAAAGTTACAAGAAGGCTTAAAATTAAAATTAAGTTTTCTTTTGCTTTAATTTATTTAGTATCTTCAATGTTATTCAAGAAGTATAATCACCACTTTCCACCACTACTACTGGAGCATGCCTGTGTAAACCGTATAAAATGTCAGCATGACCGCTAGTATGAGTACAGAATGCCATCTTGGCTCCCTGTACATTGTGGAAATTTCGAGAGCACTTCGTTCAATATTTTTTTTTAATTCTAGTGTTATTCAGTATTGAGAATTTAAAAAGTTAAACATAAAAATATTTTTTTTTATTTAATGCTCTTTGCTATCGTGAGCTGGAACAAATTTAATGAAAATCCACTATTTTTAAAGTGTGGTTAATCAGCTTAAAGTTACACGCTATATAAAATTTGGTTCATGCTCGGCCAATCCAGCTCAACGTTAGCCCATTAGGAAACACAGGTATCAGCACTGTAGTTTTAGCGAACTGTGCGGTATACTGTATAAACTTATGCTTTGATGTACTAACGTTGGTAGGATAAAGCATTTTAACATTTTTTTTTAGTTATTAATTACATTGACTTGCATTTTTGTAAACAATGGGAGCTATGTTACACCTTAATTTTACTTTGAAGTTATATTGGTATACTATGAAATCTGTAAAATATTTATTTTCTACGAATAACTCGAGTCGTTTAATATATCTATTTTTCCGAGCAAAGTCAATAAAAAAATCTTGTGGGCCTAAAAATAATAGTTTAACTGAATATAATTTTAAAAAATCTGTTAAGAAAAATAAAGTTAAAAGTAAATTGGAAAAGAATATTTCAAGAGCAGAGGCCCCAGGAACACCTACTTTTTCATCTGTTAGCAACTACTCAGCTTCAGGTTCATCTGTTCAAGCGCCCTTTTCAAGCGTCAAGGTAAGAAATTTTTAAAAACCTTTTTTTTTTTTTTTTTCAAATAGTATTTTTCTCAAGTTTGACCAAAGAATAAAACTTGACTTGCCTTATCCTCACACATGGTTTCCTCTTGCTCGTAAGCTTAAAAGGAAGTTTTACTTACACATCGGACCAACTAATTCAGGTTGTACTCTACTTCCTGTCTTGCGCTAAGCCTTACGTTTTCTCATTTTTATTCAGGCAAAACTTATTCAGCTATACAAGCCTTACAAGTCGCTAAGACAGGTTTATACGCCGGTCCTCTCCGACTTTTAGCTTGGGAAGTTTATGATAAGTTAAGCGGAAAGGGCATTCTTTGCGACTTGCTTACGGGTCAGGAAAGGGAACAAACAGTTGGCTCAACTCACGTCTCCTGTATACATTCTAATTATTTTTTTATCAGAGTTATTATGTAACATATTTATTATTGTATTTTATATGATCAGGCACAATAGAGATGTTGGATTATCAGCGCATCTATGATGTAGCCGTAATCGACGAGGTTCAAATGGTGTCTTGTTCTCTTTGGTAATCGTCTAAAAATACATATGAAAAGATTAACGAAAATTTTATATTTTTAGAGGACCTGCTTGGTCTCACGCCATCTTGGGTGCCTGCGCCCGTGAGGTTCATCTTTGTGGAGAGGAGACCGTATTGTCTTTAATACGACAGCTTTGCTTACATACAGGTGAAACTTATTATTTTTTGTTCTAACCGGTTAGCTATTGATAATTATGCTAACTGTTATCCGTATGTTATTGTCATTTTTTATCTTATCCTTGTACGCACATTTCACACTTCATTATCAAAGGCGACGAACTCACTGTCCATAAGTACGATCGTTTGTCGCCATTAGTTTTGTGCCCGCCAGTGACGAAGGCCAGTAATTTGAAGAAAGGTGATTGCTTGGTCACCTTTACGAAAAAGGTATTGTTTATTTATTACTTCCAGAACTCATAATAAGAGCTTAGTATTACTTGTAAAAGGATTTATTTAGCTTGAAAGTTGCAATTGAGTCGCAAACGAAGCTGAAGTGTTCTATCATTTACGGCAGTCTTCCACCAGAAACTCGCCGGCAGCAAGCGGTCGAGTTTAATACTGGCCAGTCAGATATTCTTCTTTCCACGGACGCCATAGGGATGGGGCTCAATCTGCAAATACAGAGGCTTCTTTTTGCGAGTTTGGTATCCCCTGCAAGCAACTTAAGTTAAAAACTGTTTGACATAGCGTATTACTAGACAAAGTTTGACGGGTTCTTCACCCGCAACTTAACCCCAACGGAGACACGACAGTTGGCCGGAAGAGCCGGTCGTTTCATGTCCAAGTACGAGACGGGTACCCACTTGCCTTTATTAGATTTGCACTTAAAAAGAGCTATTTACTTCATTGTTGCACAGGATTCACTTCAGTGTTGCACAAAAAAGACTATAGTGCGCTTAAAAATAACTTGAGCTCTGCCTTTGAGGAAGTTACTAGGATGGCCATCATGCCAACTTCTGGTCTTATTGAAAAGGTTATAAATTTATTGTTAAATACGAGTCTTATTAACTTGGATATCGAGTAGTTCCTATATCAAGTGGGTGTTAACAAGCTGAGCGGTCTTCTCGCGGCCTTCAACACCATGAAACCTGGCCATTCCTCCCTCTATTACATGGCCGACCTCACTCCCATTATTCACCTTGCGAAACTCTGCGAAAGGTCTATTGCCAGGCGTCCTCTATCGCCCGCACATTTCACCGACCGTTTCATTTTGAATTCCAGTTTGGATATCTCCCGAAAGCTGAACTTTGCCACTCTTTGGGGCCTCTGTCTGGCCCCCATCAACCCTTCTATAGTCGAACTTGTTGATATGCTGCGCACCACCATGAAGAACCTCGCTAACAAACAACCGTATCCTCCACTCTCATCATCTAATCTAAAGCAATTTGATTATTTTTAACCTTGCAGGATCTACTCTGGCGACGTTATATATTATGTTCCAAACCACGGCTCTGTTTTCGATTTCAACAGACTCGAAAGCCTCGAGTTGGGTGCTTTTTTATCTACTTTATTATAATAATTTTATTAATAATTTATACTTTTTGGGTGTAAAAGTTTGTAAACAATTTGATTTGTATTTGTGGCTTTCAAACAAATATGGACTCGCATATTTTCCCGACTATTACATGGTTTTGAATATATATAACCTGGATTCGGGCTAAAACTTATACAACACCTTTAATTATTATTATAATTATTGGTATATGAGTTTTTGCGAAGTATTTACGCTTTCTTACGTGCAGATTCGTAATCTTCGATATGACTGTTGCCAAGAAATTACTAATTCCTTGGGAAATATTAAGTTGGATAAAAATACATTTGATGAAATATAACGTAAGTGGATGAGGCGCTTTTGTAGTAATAAATTAGCTAAAAAGCATTTATTAGGGGTAACTGGGTATTAAACTTTAACACTTCTAATCGCTTTTTTCCTTTTTCTCTTTGACTGTGTTAGAAAATAAATAGCATGGTAGTTAACTTCTTGATCAAAAGGATTTGAAGAGTATGATAGTAGTGCATACTTCTAGTCCCTGCAACTATGTTTTAACGAGCTTTTATTGAGGCCTACTCTAGTTTTAGTGGGTTAAATACGTAAAACGAGAGTTGTTGTCGCCTCTTAGCGGTAGAAGGATTGACGCACAAACTCAAGGTAAAGAGTTCGCTTTCCACCGCCGTAAACCTCTTTCTTGGTATTTGGTGGTTGCGCGCGGAACCTCGCCCTTATAAATTGTAATAAGTTCTACTTTGCGTTATTATCCAACGAACTTTATTCCTGTTTGCCTGAATGTCTTTTAACTAGCGGGTTCACTACGTGTCATCATAAATCTATTAACTTTATTATCAAACATTATTTAGTTAGCAGCACAAGGCAAAAGTCTCTGAAGGCTTGACCTACAAACAGTGCACCTGACCTTAACCCTGGAGTACTGATATAAAAGCTATTAGCAGCGTTATATTATATTATTTTTCTTAAGAATTTAGTTTACCGTATACTTCGTTAGTACTTATAAGAAACAAAAGTTAATTATTTTTTAAAGTTAGACGCCTGTGTATACTATGCGCCAAAAAAAATTGTCCCTTACGAGCCCATAAACAAGTAAACATGTGCTTATCTTTTATTACCTTTCTAAATATAATTTAGGTTATAATAACTTTCTTCAAGATACAGGGAATAAAATATTTCCTTTTTACTTATTAATAAAAACACAACCTGTATACTTTAATCCGTGGAAACTAATTTGCAAACTTATATACGACTCTTTTGAGTAAAGCAGAAACACAATTTTCGCTGTACGATTCGAAAAGGATTATGCTATAGGTCGGGTTTTTCAAGTTAAGAAAAGGTAATGACTTGCAACAATATAATGGCATATTTTTATAAAATCAATGTACCTTCACACCGGATCGTAAAGCAGAGAACTTTTTATAATTAACTATATACACACTACCCAATTATTATTTTTGATATTTTTACTTGATAAAGAGTATATTCAAACCACTAAACTTTTTTTAGAAAAAATGAAATCCTTTCAAATTCACTTGGCCCTTCCAAAAAACGTAATAGTGCCACCCATGAAAGGTTTAATTTCCTTCGATGCGTTAGTGTTTAATAAGTTGTAAATCCCTATTATTGTTTGTATATGAACCTTCAAAGAAGTCCACTTTTTAAAGTTTTAAATACCTACCTTCCTTAGTACTTCTAGTATTTTTGACGTACTATGCGTGAACTTATTATATTTCAAAAGAATAACGCTTTACATGATATACTTTTATACTTTTTTTAACAAAGCAATTGTATAATAGAAGAACACATCCGCCCTAAAGTTTTGAGTAAAATAATTTTAATTTACGGATAAAAAAGTAATTATAACATATTAACAGGGTTAAAGCCGATAATATATTATTAAAAACTATTAAATAAAACAAAAGATATTTTTTCAAAATAACTAAATTTTAGATGCAGAGAGTAATATACATACTTCCACAGTTGAACCACCAGATTAAACGAGGAAACAATATATATATAATATATATTAATAAAAAGATAACGAAGGTTATAAGTCAAGACAATGTAATACTATATAGTGATAAATCTTTATTTTTATAATTCCCTTTTTTTTTTAACCACTTATAAGTTTAAATTGTGGATTAAAGTAAATTTGTGCGTATTAAGAATTCGTACTTTCGTACTTTCTTCTGTTTTTTTTAAAAATTAGAGCAGTTACTCATGCTCACAGGCGGATAGACGGACGATATTAATACAGGAAATAACATGTAACCTTTACTTTTTTTACTAACCTACTGCGCTCTACCCTAATCAACACGATTCGTATTTCCCATTTTTATGGAGGTCGGGGCCTGAGTGCTGAGGGTAAGTAAGTAGTCACCAAACCGGCAATAAGTTTTTCAAATTTAATTTAGTCAAAAATAAAGTATTTGATTAGCTGTGTTACCAATTTTGTTTAAATTTTTTTTTTAATATAAGCACCATGCAACTTTTCCAAAGGCCACCAAATCGGCCTTGATAGGTGGAGCGCAGCTATTTTAGTCTTAGGAAACATTCAACACAACGTGATATCTTTGCCAGATCTGTAAAGCATTCAGGCGGTTGGAATTTCGCTCAACTTAACCAGTCAGGGGCTTGTGTCAGTTTGCAGCTTACAAAATCTCGTAGCAGGCCACTTGTTACCCCATATCCTGATTCCCTCTTTATATAATTGTTTCTCAATTGTGGTATATAGTGTCCTTAACTACAAGCAGCCCTCCTGGAACAGTCGTGTCGTAATCCAAATGGCGGACCCCACAAATCTTATACCGAGGAACGCGGATTGCGCGTCTTAGGACCACAGACCCAACGTGCCGTTTTAAAAAATATGCATATTCAACTAAAAAGGAAGCTATTACGAAACTCTTGTCGGGCCATCGGTCAATTCCGCTTGATTGGGCGGCGAAAAGGAGTTACTGAGGACATATACCAGGATCTACGCACTGGGCTTAATTCCCCGAGGATCGATATATCTATCAAGGTCTCTCCCTTACTCGGGGCTCCCGCCCTACTTGAGTTTGCTAGGCGCTTAGGCCATGGCGTACCTCACCGCCACGACAACAAGTGAAGTGAAGTTCTGCCCTAACCGCTTGTCTGATGAACAGCAGACCCTTATTTGGAAATGGAGACGTTTTAACAGTATGGTCGGGAACACAACACCCCGTAGAAAAATTAGCTCTTAATAGCCTACACCGGCGCATTAAGAAAGTGCTGTTGGCACGCCATAGCGGTTGAGGGAGAAAAAGTTAAGTAATATATCGGAAGTTATTGTTAACGATCGCGTCTATTATTGTAAGTCCATTAGGAGATACATACACCGAGCGCGGTTACCATTACCTACTGAACGATAGAGCAAGTTTGTGTCGAAAAATGATGGCAAAGCGACAAATTTTTGCTTATCACCTCGCTACTCGCGTGTGCCACCTGCTTATTTAGCTGCTGATGAAGTGCTTTATAAATAAAATTCCCTTGCTGATGCATAGGGACAGCTTGAGCCATTCACCAAGTCGAAACCATAAGGATTATTAACGCTTTACCGAGGCGGCACCTGGCTTCCATGATATTACCAACATGATGTTTAAACGATGACTGATGGTGGGAGTAGAACATCTATGCTGACTTAACAACTCTACAATGTTTGTCGGCCTTCCCATTTGCGCTGGGAGACCGTGACTGTGGTGGTGCTCCCGAAATCACCACGGCCAGTTTTTACGATAGGCAGTTAGAGGGCTATTAATCTTTAGTGAGGAGTGGGCAAAGTAGCTAAGGCGGCCCTGCGCTGCTTGAAAGCTTTCGTTGACGCAAGCTTCGCCTTGTTAGGGTTTCAATTTAATTTTGAGTTCACTCCACGGCCCCTCAGCTCCTCCTAACAGACTGGACTACGCATTATTTCAATTTAAAAGAGGGCAACTGGCGCTGTTTTTTTTTCTTGATGTCGGAAAAATGTTAGACCGAGTTTGGCCTAATGGCTTGCCTTACAAATTGCTCGTTATAGCCCTTCTTACTGCTCTTTTTAAAGTGCTCAAATCTTACCTTAAGGGCTGAGTCTGTACGTGTGCGCGAAACGCGCTCACATCTGGAGTCCCTCAACCCCTGCACTTTGAAGTTTATGTGCGCGACGAGCCACAGCGTGTCGACCTCTACAACAGGTTGTCGATTGATACGACAATTTACTCCTCGTTCAAGTCACCTACCTAATTGTGCAAGCATCTACACTACGCCTAGTAACGTTCACCACTACCGGCGCCGACCAAGGGAATTCCTTGGTGTTCTAGGGCGAAATACAGGGGGTCATTTTTGACAGTAAGCTCTCATGGCTCCGGGCGTAAACTATATCGCGGCGAAAGTTAAAATGGCGGTTCAAACTTTTTTACTCTTTACTTTGACCCGAAGCAAACTTTCGTTGCACAACAAAAGACCCTTGTGTGTTCTGTGTCTCCGACTAATGAAATACCGTCTACTGTTCATGCCTACGACTCATCGGCAGTAGTTTCTTTGCTTCATGTGAGACAACACAAGCTGCTATACCTTATGGCGGACGCGCGGGGGTTTGTCCGCAACGTTGCCTTACATAAAGACCCAGATTGAACCTCTAGGTAACGTTTTTGGACGCAATGCTCTCGCCGCCTGCCCAATGGGTACTAAATTTTAAAATGGGTTAAGGATAATATTTTTTTAAAATTTATAACTTGATATTGCTTTTTAACACAATGTTAAAGCTGTTGTGTAGACCGATAAAGAGGGTGCACCAGTAAGAATCGAACCCACGATCTTGAGTGTGTGTCTTTGCTCTTAACCGTTGGGCTACTACCACAACTCTCGACCTCGCAATGATGGCTTACGTATTTAACCTGTTAGAGTTTCTACAAATAAGGAGTCTCATGCCTTTCCCTAAGGGCAGTGGAGTAGCGGAGACTTATTGAGCCCAGATTTCCATCCTCCGGCTAAGAGCAATGGAAACCGGAATGAACCAGAGTAGCTCACCGAGCACATGACATCAAGGTTTTGGAGCCCTGTGTGCAAATTAGGTCTCCTGACTTTCCTGTACGTTATCACAATGAATTAATGGTTTACTACCAGCTATGAACTTTTATATAAACATTAATATATTGCCCTTATTATTGATCATGAAATCATCTAGGCGGTTAAAATGATTTCTTTAGTACATGTATGTTATCTCGACCGATATAGCCTCTTCAATAATCCTAGGACCTGCAAAAAGGACTTGAAAGTGAATCATAGAGGCTTTGTAACCATCCTTTGCTTAGTGACACCTTGACCTGTTTTTGAAAGTTGTTCTAACGGGTGTTTTGCCACCAAATTTTTTTAAAACTGCAGGTATTAGTTTTTAGGGTATTTAAACCTTTACTGACGGGTATCTAAACTTTTAAACCCTTTAAAATTAATTGTAAACAAATGTATATATATATAGAGAGAGAGAGAGACGTACAGATGTAACTAAAACATAAAAAGCACTAAAAAATTAACACGACTGCCAGTTAATTTTTCGTGAACCTTCATTATATACTAACCACTAAGCAATGAAATAAGCAATAATAATCATAAAAATGCCTAAAAATGGTTATTTGCGTTAAAAATGAACTGGGATCTTTTTTTTAACATTATTTGTATAAGGCGTTATTCGGTTGGAGTGTCATTCAATCAAAGAAATTTAAATAAAAACTTATCGTTAAGTACCGGAACGCAATACCCAGGAGATAAAAAAGAACAAAATAAGAAAGTACTTATTTGGTTAGTTAACACAGGGAATTAATTTAGGGTAAATATGCCATTACTACTTAATTAATTTTATCGATAGTGGAGCAATCCATTATCGATTTCTACCGTAGCAAGGGAAAATATGGTTAATTTGTGCTCAATATGTATGTTGCTTTGCTAATATCATGTGTAATCTAATTGTAACAGCTACCTTATAATAAAAGCTGCAGGTTTGAAATGCTGATAAAAAGAGCGGTACATAATTATTAAGCGTTAAACTAAGCACTTTTGGCATGCAAGGAAAATCGACTTACTAAAGATTTTTTGCTTTTTGCGTGGCGCTAATAAGTTTTATTAATAGTATTGGGTCAGCGAGCTAAAGAAAGTTAATGTACTTCTGTGGCAGGCGCAGAAAGTCTAACTACTACATTAAGCTTTATTAGGACAAAATTTTTTTTATAAAAGCCTTTAGAATTAAAATTTTAAAGGTCACAAGCACAAAATATTTCTTATCACCGTTAATTTGGCACTTTTTAGGTGTATATTAAAATAATTAAGACAAATTTTTTAACTTAAACAATTTATTATTTAGCATTAAGAAAATTCGAATAATGATAAATTATTTGTTAGATCCGTTATAAAAAATTGTTCTTGCCTATTTTGTTTTGTAATCTTAACCCCATTAGGTAGGAGGAAAGTTTACCAAGGTAGAAAGGTGTAACTACATTTACTTTCAGAGATCTTTATAAAGCTTTTTGATCCAAACAAAAAGTTAACGTAGCACCTGAGTTGTCGGACCTTTGTAGTCTATTATTAAATAAAATTGATGTATTAAAGAAGTTTTAAATTTAATAAAAAAATTAAAATAACTTATTTAATATATTTAGAAAATCTTCCTAATGACCTCCTTTTTTACCTATAATTCTCAGCACAAATTTTGATTAATAACTATTTTTATCAATTTGACTTCAATTATATACTATGTATTCCCTTGCCAAAAACAAAAAGGTCTTGAAACTAAATAAGTTGACATAGAGTATCATAAACTATTTGCATAAATGATATAGGAAGAGAAATTGATGAACGTAAGGAATGCTAATAAAATTATTATGGACCTACTACTATTTAGGTTTTTAGAGTTGTAATGAAAAAAAAAAATTACCTCTATTTCTAGTTAACTTTGCTTAATATACAACTTAATATGTTGACCTTTTAAGTAGTATAAAAAATTACACCCATATTGCATTTCCTTTTAATTAACACGTACAGGGCAAATTTTATCTCTCAAGCTATCAAGGAAACTTCCCTTCTTTGCTCAAAGTTTAATGTTCACACTGGGTTTTACTAAACTTTTTTAATTTAGTTAGCGAAGACACATTTAATTTACTCTAGAGTTTATGAGCCCTATATTGTTTACCTCAAGGAACTGGTGGAAGCTATTAATTCTGTTTCCAATAAGTATCTGAAAACGATGAAATATTTAATTTCACTCCATTCTTCACCTAATAAATCTTGTGAACAAAAGAAAAAGGTTGCAAATATATTGTCTATTTAATTGTTGTTATTAATATCGTTTTTACTAGAATCCTTATTTTTTAAAGTCGTTTGAGAAGTTCAAAAATTATTACGCTGCATTTAATAAGGTTTTGCAACCTGAAATCCCTTAAATAGTTATAATATCTCAAATTGTATATTATTTATAAGTTGTGTACTTATAATGTAAAGTCAGGTAAAATGTAGACCAAGAGAATTTAAATAGAACTTAGTGAAAAAGGAACAAGGCATAGTTATAAGAAAATTGACTAGTAGTTTAGTGATAAGAAAAGTCTTAACATTTTATTAGGTGTAATACTAAATCCCTCAAAGAAAGTGGAGTTGACCTAAGCCTCCTATACATTTATTACTTATTTAGAATTAAAATTTACACTTATTGTTATAACTTATGTATATTATTCACATATACTTTAAATTTATATATTATTAAAATTTTAATGGGAAATAACTAGAAATCGAATGAGGAAAACAAGAGTAAACATGAAGAAGCTCTTGAATCTTTTAATGAATTTTTAAAAGTTTCGTAAATCTATAAAAATATTTTCTACATAAAATTTAACTTTATAAAGTAAAACTTAATACTAATTGTATTAATTTTGTAAACTGAAGATCGAAGGAATCAAGCAGAATAGTGAATTTGAAAAATATAAATCGGTTCTGTTCCAGTGGGCTGAAATGGAAGTTGGAAATCTAAAAGATCTTCAAAAGGTTTTACTAATTTTCACTCCTGAGACCTCACCAATAGTGTTGTTGATAAAGCACCCATAAATTTAATAAACTTTTTAAGATAACTGTTTATTGGTTCAAACTACAGAATGTTTCTATAAAAAGCTTGCTGTTCAAATAATGCTTGTAACTGCCGACTTTAGCTATTTTCAACGTTTCTGGAGAAGTTAGAGGGCCATCCCTTAAATTTCTGTGGGAAAACAACCAAGGATAACTTAGCGTTAACAGTAAAAACCCCAAGTAATTTATATTAACGGCGCTTTCATTTCTCACGCATACTGCATGCATGCAATTGCTTGACATTCGGTATGTACAATTCTTATTTTAAATAAGTCGTACGCTATTCTAAAGTATTAAGTTTACGTTTTTGGAGTTCTTTTAGTGTGATGATTTTTTATTATAAATGTGATAGGCATTTTCTAAATAACGTGTATTTTACTACCTAAAAGGCTTATTTTTTTACTTTACTGTATTTTAAAGTTTGAAGGGCTTTTTGTGGTTAGTTATTCCTAACGATTTTTTTTAAAAATTATTGTAAAAAATTCATGCAAAAATTTGTTATTATTGCACTTCTCATGACTTGTTAACCACTATTTATTAAGGCTTTACTTAAATTTTAAATAATTATAATACTTTCTCATTTAAATATACACAATAAAAATAACTGACATGCTTTTAATTTAAATTCGCTATTATATTATTATTCTTTCTTATACATTGCACTTCTATAGACACCTCCATGGATAGCGACTTTTGTTTTCAAAAGAAAGCAGAAATGTACTCCTTTAATATTATAAAGAGCAATTTAACGATTTTTTGGCTTAGGGAAAACGGATATATGAGTAGTTTATAAGTAATAATAACTAGATCTGCAGTACACATAGATACGCTAGTTTACGTTATTATAATAATTCTGAGTAAGGTTAGATCTCTCTAGCCTTTTATGCTTGGCTTAGTATTTTTAAAAGTTTAGCTATTAAAATTCTCTTAATGTTACTAATCTTTTGCAAAAAATACAACAACTACTAAAAAGTCTACTATAGTCGACTTTACTTTTAAGTTTCTCTTGTGCATATGCGCTTGTGCCTTAAACCTCTTTACTAAATAATATTAGTAAAACTGCATTTCTTGTTTCTAATTTTTCCTATGAGCTCAATATAATTACTCTTTTGTTTAATATAAAAGGGAAAACAAATCGATTGTAGATCCCAGATTAAGCAACAATGGAAGAAGAGTACTTGAAAACAGCGAATCCTGTGAGAGCGGAAGCAGCAGTTCTGGTGATATGGATGAAGGCAAAAAGATCATTATGGTCAAAATCCAGCCAGTTTCTGAACTACCAGTTAATATTTTTACTTATTGCTTTAAAAAATATATATAATAATAAAAATAATAATTATAAATTTGTTAAGCTTCCAAAGATTTCTTAATATATTATGAATTAAGTACTTTTGAAAATCTGTTAAAAAAAATTTAATATAAAATAAATTTTAATCATAAATCTCAAATGATCGTTGGTCGTTCGGTTTTAAATTCTGGTCGGCGAAAAGTCTATAATTGGAAAATTTATTATTTTTTATATAAAATACTTGGATGAACTTTTTAATAATGAAGCATTTACATTTGAAGATATAAAGAATAATTGGTTCTACAAACACCTATATTTTTGTCTGTTATATTGTTTTTTTTGTGACGTTATTATTATTGTAGACAAAAAAAGAAGTGGGAGATTCGGAGGCGTACTACTTAAATTTTGATTACCCTGAGCCCAGTTCTGTTTATATGCAATATTGTCATTATTATATTTATTATTAATATAACAGATAAGGTTCTTCCCACTCGAGCGCACCGAAGTCTTTATCGGACTAAACCTCAAAAGCGTAGTGATAAACTTTCTTCTTACCTTCCGCACGTAAACTTATTAATATACCGATAGCCTATCCCTGTGACATTATAACATTTGTATTAACTAAAATGTTGTTAACGTTAAGCAAATGGTATCCTTCCAGCTGTCATCGGGGAGCGTGTCTTTAGAAAAGAAGTATAATAGCACCGTCATAAAACCACTCACAATTATTATTATAATTAAAGACTGCCACTTTGCTATCGCCTTGCCATTATGGAGGGAGTCAACGTGTACTTTAAAGGTGCAATTACATTGACTTTATATGAGTTTAACTCTTTAAAAAAGTATATGGCGTTCTTTTTTATACTATATTTTATTTTTCTATTTTTCAATAAGATTACTTTCCATTATTTATGGTAGTCTTTTATTATACGTAGTTCTACTGTTTATAAATTAGTAATTTTGCTGTTAACGTGGGTACAGTGGTTGTGAAAGTTTATGTCATGACCGCAATTGTTTCGGTGTTATTATTATAAGCATAACTAGCATCGTAGGTTTCTTTTTTGAACATATACTTAAGTAGTACGCCTTTATTAATATTATAATAAATTCGTTCCAAGAATCAAAGTGAGAAGGTTCTTTTTGAGCCAATAAAGGCATATTGCCGGGTCCAATGGTAGTGGGGTCACGCACATAAGTTTGAACGAATTACAATGCTTTCTTGTTACATGTTTTTTGTTACTATTGTTTAACTTTCTGATGACTCAATGTTACATATTCTGCCCATTTTAAAGGCAACGATCTAGGAGAAGTTCTGATCGAGGGGAAAGTTTACTTTTCTACAAGTATAACTGTGATGAAGTACAAACCTTTCGTTTATAAGTTATCACTATTATTTAGTTTATATATATTTTGTTTCTTGTGCTTTCCTTTCTTTCTTGATTACCTATAATACTCTCAAAAAGTTCTTGGAGCCAAGAAAATGAAAGTATAATATTAAAACTTCATCACTTTGAAAAACTCGACACCGTCGTTGGGAATCCGGCCATTTTTAATGGGTCTTTTTTGTTTTTACTAAAGTGATTTCTGCCTATAGAAAAGTAACATTTTTAATGTTATAAGAGACTTAAAGGACATTGTAGTTGAGGATAAGTTACTTCTAGGATGCAACAAGATAAGCGAAGCTTTAAAAAAAGTTCTTTTTAATGATATAATAAAAATTTAAATAAAGTCTTGTTTCTGTATGTAATGGCATACTACTATAATAACTTCTTTACTTTCTAAGAGATAAACTCGCTTTATAATTTTAAAAATAATTTATTTGTTCCTCAAGTGTAAGTATTACAACTTCTTGATTGCCGGACGCGTGCTTTGAAGCCCTCACACCTTAATATTAGCTTTTACAAAATTTGTAACCCTATAATAGTATGTAATTTATATAAAAATATTGGAATGCTATCCAACTTACATGTTTAAGTAATGAGATTATGTATTTATCGTACTATGTAATATACATTTCACCTTTTTAATACAAAATTTCTAATGTTATAGTAATAATAAAACTATATATTAAATGAACTTGTGTTAATGGTTCTCTTCCTTTTTTTTAAATACCGAAAGCATGGAACTATCAGAGAATCGGACGCGACTGTAGACCTTTTTTGCTACCAAATGAAGGAGACATCGTATCGGCGGGTTCCTCTTCTTGTGTATACGCTGTGGGACTGCCAGCAGAGAAGCACATCCTTAGAGCTGTACATAAAGCATAATGAAGACGGTACGCAGGCGTAAGCAACAATCCCTTGGCTTCATATCATATGCCAACAATGTTTAGTCACTAAACACCCTTTGATTATTATTTTTTTTCTTTAGTCTACTTGTCAAAATAAAAATTGGCTTCTAAAGTTCTCTGCTTTCTTTCACTTTTTTTAACAACTTTTTAAATAATGCCTCTTCTGACTCTTATACTTGTTGCGTTCCTCTTCCTAACTTCCAAGTATTACATTTATATAAGTTTCTTCCTTCCCTGCATTTACTAGCATAGTCGTATTATTTTAATAAGATTTCGTTTTGCTATTACAACAAATGGTATTTATTCCAGCGGTCCAAGTCCCTCTAAAGTCTCTAGTTATATTCGTAAAGCTCAACGAACACGCTACGAAATGCGAAGTATGATATAAATAATTTTATAAACAATTACATGTTTTGACTATTTCTAACGTTTTTATATTAATAACAAAATTATTATACAAAAGCTTAATGACTTAATGAAAATACACAGTAAATATATAAAAAAAAAATTGTATAAAAGTTTAATAAAATTTTATCAATATTTTTTAACTATTATGGTACTTAAAAACTAATATTGCACCTGTAAACTTAGTACATACCATTAAAAAATATTTGATAAAGAACTTAATAAAAGAATTAACTGTCTTATTAGCTAAAAAGGCTTTAAAATCTGAAATGCGAGCTGCCGACAAGTTCGGAACCAACTATTACCCACGATCTTTTTATATATAGGACTTCTCGAATGGAAGGTGGAGTAGTGAAGAACAGCTATTGATATGGGCCAAACCTTCTGTGGAACCATACCAATGTGGGCTTACCTTGTAATTATAATATAATAATAGTGAAGATATTAACATGGTACAGACGCCGCCAAATTCAAAGCCGTTTGGCAGGTAGAGCAGAAAAGCACTGGAAGAGTATATGTTAGGTTTTCGGGTTGCCATCTTACCTTTCTCATATCCTAATAGAGTTAATACAGTCATTACCAATATTAATGCAGGAGATGGAAGCACTCTGTCTCCTTTTGCACTCGAAAACGGGAATGGCCATATTGCCTCCTGCTCTGATATTGTGAAGCGATTTTATGCTGACAAATACTTCATGAGCTTTTAGAGTAATAAAAGCGATTCCATTAAAGTTTTTTTAAGCTTCCATGATAACAAAGTGGAACCCCCTTGATGCCATAGTGTCGAGAAAAAACCATCATTTTAATAATAGCAACAGCCAATCCAAAGGCGCAGTTTGTTAAAACTCTTATGGTAGCCTTTTTCAAGCAACCATTAGTGTAGATACGCCGGCGACCGCGTGATTGCTACGCACGGTATGAAAAGTAAAACAGCCCTTTTTGCCGTCTGGTCCTATGATTAGACCCCCCACACACAGACCGTTTTTGGATAAGCCGCCAAGAATGCCGGTTATCGATATCTACAAGAATAGCCATAGACAGTGCGTTTCTATTCAAAAAAGTGTTCTATATTAACAGTAATCCATATTTTATTTTTGTATTATTTTCTTTGGATTTATTTTTTTGCTAAAATAACTATAAAAAATGTTCACGTGAAAATATACAGACTGCTTATAATTAGTAAAGTACACAAAAACATTTTTATTACTACAATATACTTGCATTACTATAAAAAAGTTGGCATTAATATTTTTATTATTATCAATTATAATCATAAACGACATAACTTAGCTTTATTTTTAAAAAACCAAATTAATACGAATCTAAATTATGGTGTTAATTCTATATTTATAAAGCGTCCGTAAGAAAGAGTTGAAGCAAGGTATTATTTATTTTACAATCAATGTATACGAAAATAACATTGATTTAATGTTTAACGAAGAAGTAAAATTAACTACCACCAAACAAAGTTAAAATTTTAAGACTTGCCAGTTTTTAGAGCCGTCAAGTCCTTAAGGCTTCTATCGTGACGTTTGTACGCCATTACAACTGACGAGGAAAAGCAAAGAATCCTTTGAATAGTTTCTCTGTAGAAGTAGAAAAAAAGTAAATGATTGATAATACTATAAAGTTTTTAAGGTTATCAAGTCGTCATAACATTAAACGCTTTTTCACATATGATTACTATCAGTTCACAGTTGATACCTTCCGCACTTAAAGTATTAAATACGCAGGGTTCATTATTAATAGATATATAACGAAAGAAGACTATAAATTTGCCTCTGTGATATTTTTACAGTGAAGTTTACAGGATGAATAATAAATTTTATTATTGATTTCCACCAAATTCACCAATGCCGGTGGTTATAACCCTGACCTTATTTTAATAATCAAAACTTGATCGTTAGCTGTTCGGTTCCACACTGATAAAATATCTTCATTGACCCGTATGGACAGCACAACGCCAAAGATTTCATCTTCTAAGTGGAACTGGTTTCCTAAGAAGCCCATAATCTATTGGAGATTATAATAAAAATAAAATATAACTATTAAACAAGTTTTAATAGATATGGAAAGAGCTTTATCGTCAGTAAACGCACTAAGCAAAACCCAGCTATTAGTAAGTAACGGAGGAAAAGTGTAATAACAAAAAGAGATAAACGTTACAAAAAAAATACAAAGCGATAGATAGTGAAAAAAAATATTAAACAATAAATACACTAAAAAGGTGATTAATTACTAAAAATAAATAAATTAAAAAAGGATAAATTAAAAATGGTAATTTTTTTAAGTTAATAGTAATAAAAAGTTAAAGTGCAAGCATAAGTACTAATTCTTCCCACAAAATACAGGAAACATCTTTCTTCACTTTAATAATCCATTTACCTCCATATCGGTTATTAGCATCCTATTAATAAAAGTAGAAAAATTTAATAGTAAGGAGTATAATAGGCCATATTGAAATTATTAATAGAGTAAAACCTTTCACACAATTTTTTTATTTTAACTTATAGTAAATTAAAAAGAATAAAGTGAAAGTAAACTAACAATTTGTACAACACGATAAATGGTAGAAATAATATTTATACTCGAACTTTTTTAAATAAAAAATACCAATACTTTGGTTACAAACAAATAATTTGGTTTTACTTAAACATTTATTTATAAAATAAATTTCAGGTTGATAACCTCCCAGACAGGCCTAACTTCTTTACGAAATAAGTGATAGTCACTTAGTATTTTTAGGTCCTTAGGCCGCTTCATATGACCGTAATATGACCAAAAGTCTTCCACCTATTTTTGTTATGTAAACGTTAAGTGCCTCTGTTGTTTTACTCTATATATATAGTTTATTAAAATTAGTAAAAGGTTAGAGGAAAAAACACTTAAATATTTATATCTTCTCGGTACCGTATAAATGTCGCCTACTAACTTTAGATTTTCTTCAAAAGCTTCAAAGCTCATATGACTTGAAACGTTTTCAATAAACCAAAAGGAAAATGGAGTATACAACCAGTTCAGATTAGGTTTTAGCAAGTTTAAAGATTTATCTTCAGGTAGAGCAGTTTTATAGAAATTTCCCTCTCCAGTTTTTTCATTTGTGTTGTAGTTCAAATCTGTAGAAAGAAAATTTGTTCTTCTAAATAAATAGTTTCTCTTTTAAAATTATCCAGTGCTCACAACTGGAATTAAAAAATCTTACCTGCAGTATTTTGGACTTCATCTATAAACGTTTGCTTATTACTTAAAAGATCAACTTCATTTGTATTCGCCGAGTTGCCCAAAAGTTGTGATGTAGGCAACGGATAACTTCTAATAAGGCTTTGATCTTTGGAAGAACTTGTTATTAAACTGCTTTGTGTGTACCAGCCTACATCATTTCCACTTTTGTAGCGCAGCTTATTGTATTTCTTTAAATCCTTATGTTTTGGGCTATGATCAACGTTGCTAACGTGTCTGAGTTCAGCCGAAGATATTTTTATATTCTCTGGTACTAGTCTTCTGCTTTGCCACGTAGGAGGGCCCTCTTTAACTTCCTTGTAAGTTTTAGTAGTAACTGCTGCGTTTTTAAAGTTGACTGTGCTCGTAAAAGTATCTGGGGTCATTAAAGTTTATAATAATAAATTACTTAAAATTTTAAAGATTAATAGCTATATATACTGTACTATGTAAATATAACACTATGACTTATAACACTTAAGTTAGTTTTTTTTTTTTCTGTGATGGACAGTACGTTAGAATTGTAACTTAATAAAACGAAAGCTAACTTTAAGTGTAAAAAATGAAGTTCGTTTACTCTGCCGCCCCTATAATTGGACGCGACGTAGGAATCTGGAGAAGCTCAAATCGCTTGGGGTTGGCTAAGATGTAAGGTAAAAGCCTGCCATCCTGAAAGTAGGTTGACATTTATAATAATTTTTATAAATTATTGATTGCAGATACTAGGGATATACTTGTTAATTGCTTGTGGTAAATATAGAGGTTGAAAGACACCATTGTTACATATTTTTCTAGACTCTTTAAATAGCTTAAATATAAAACATATATAATAGACTCCTATATCTTATTCTGTATTTTCTACTCTAGCATATACTTCTACAAATTAAAGTGTCTTTTTATAATAACAGTTAACATACTTTTTTTGTTATAACATTAGATATAACATGTAATTTATGTCACGGAGAAAAAGACTAGTAGTATTTAACATTGTATCCTAAAAGTTGCGTTAACCACTACGCATTACTAACCTTTGTAACGTTTCTTGCGGTATACAAAGGCAACTTTTAAAATACTAGTATCCTTATTATATATTAATCGTCATCAGATCTATAAGGTACAGAGCTTAGGTCAGTTTATGTTGAAATGCGATAGGGCAGGCGGAATTTCCTCTACTCCCTGTATATTATTTTTCATTAACTTATTTTTTATATCCTATTTTAATGTTGAGTAAAGAAGAACTTTCACAATGAAGATCTGCAATTGCTAATATCATGAAGAAAGTAACTATCAAACGTATATCATAAGGTGGAGCTGTTTATAACATGCAGACCCAACTTTGACGCAAAACTAGTAAGGAACAATCACAAAGATAAGAACTTAACTTTATAACACATTATTATTTCTTTGATAGAGTGGTCAAGGATAAATTCCCTGAAAGACCAGCGCCGCAGACGTTTATATTTCAGTAAATAGATTTAACAAAAGTTGGAAGAACACTAACTTTATAAGACCCTCTACACCAATAGCACTAGTTGACACACTAACCCCACCCTCGCTCACGAAGAAATTAATATGTCGTAAGGCTTTTACCTTTTCTTATTTCTACAATATGTATAAGATACTTTTTCCTTCACCTCTACTTAGCAGTTTTAAACAAAAAATTTTACTTTTTGCCTCCCAAACTTTATAGTAAAATTAATAAAAAAAAATTATCTTTAACCCTCTTAATTATCAACATTTTCAGCACTATGTTAGAATAATCCCTTTATCTTTATTTTTAAATTTCCAGAGTATATGAAAAATTATCTTCCTTTGAAGCCCCTTTACAGAATATTTGTTTTTTAAACATTTAGAAGTTCTCATTATGCCATTAAGTATATTTTTACTTTATTAGATCATGATACCATTTATTTTAAGGTTCAACACACATTCTTTCATTGTAACATTAATACTTTAATTTAGATATCGCGGTGCTAATTGTTCCCCGAAAGCAACTTCCCATCCTAGAAGGAACAGGGGACCTATTTTAATTAGTGGAGACCTAACAAAAAGTACAAGTAGTGTAAAACAAGTTTTAACTACTTAATGTATTATACTTCTTTCTCAACAATATATAAAAATTTTAGATGATAAACTAAGTGTAACCACTCGGAGCAAAGGCATAGTTGTTAGTACAAATAATTATTAGAAGAGTACTTACCAATACACAAAGCAATTTAAAATTTAACATAGCATGAGTACTAGATTATTTATTATAGCATTTATACCTGCTTGTTTAATATCGAATGTAGAAAGAATTATATTTTTACAATCTGGCAATTTTTGTTTGTAGTTAGTAAGTGCATATAACTTAGTGAGAGCTAAACTGTAAAATTAGGTGATGACCTAGCCAGTGGCGCGGCTCTAGAGATCTTTATCTTCTATCGCGTAGTTGGCGGGATGTCCTGCTTCGTGACTAGGGTCGCTGGGCTAGTGATATCAATTAATAATAATATAGTTTCTGTAAAGAATAATCTTATAATTCGGTCACTAGAATATATAGTACCAGTGCGCCAAGATAACATATTAACCAAACCCAAAAATTTTTTATCTTCCCTGCTACCACTGCTTCTAAACAAGCAAGGGTAAGGGTCAGGGTAAAAGACGAAATATTGGTCTTCTTTGTAGGGCAGTTTTTAAGATGAGTCCTCTAAGTTCTTAATCAGAATTGTATAAGTCCTTAATTATTTTTGTGTGTACCATATGTCAAGTTCCAAGCCCTGCACACTAATATAAATGAGTTGTTGGTGGTTGGACATCATTTGAAGCTTGCTGGTTTCCTCAACACTATGCGAATAACAGAATATTTAACTACCCGTAAACTAGCCTTTTTTTTTTTAATGTCAAATGATCAGGTAATTTGTCTCCCTAGAGAGTTTAGTATATTTTCTAATATGTTAAGCACCTCAGCACTTGCCGCATGTGCATTTTCAATTCTTATTCTTAATATGTCTAAGGGAACTGTTTTATCTTTCCCTTATATAATTAAAACTCTAAATTACCCTAATTTTTCCTTTAATACTATAAACTAAAGTGACCCGTGCTTGTTCGCCCTCGGTCGGATTACTCTGTGGTGTAATTCCACCACACTTTAAAGTGGACGTTCTTAGAATGGGAGACAGGGCACTAGTTTATGTCTACTACCTTATACGACCCAATACTCGTAAGGTTTAATTTAAATAGTAAGCGCCCACAATTAAAAAATTGAAAGTTAAGGGAAGATAATATATATTAGAAACTAAAAAGTAAACTAATATGGAGGGAAGGCACCATTAAAATTTTAGAACAAGAATGGAGCTAAGACACCACTAAGTTAAAGAAGTGCACAAGCGCAAACAGAATTTTTAACTAAGAATTGGAATAGTAAATAGAACTTAGATATTGGAAACAGTTGAAGAGAAGGAGCTTAAAGAAGAAGTAAGCAATAGGCGCTTTAATATAAAAAGGGTAACAAAATCAGATCCTTAATTTTTTTTTCATTAACGGTAGGTTCCGAGTTCCCGACCGGGTCATAAAAGGAAACACCGAATTTACGAGCTCTCAACAGGGTGATAGCTTACACATTAGCTTTAAGCTCGTGTTAAAGCAATCTCATATATAGATTTTTCTACCCTAACACATGTTATATATATAGACCCCTTTGCGCAAGCGGCAATAGCGTGCGCCGGCCAGATTTCATAGCTGACCTCTTCTGTTAGTAATTGATCGGTGTGCTATTGAGCCATGCGTCGAAAAACGTTACCCAGAAGTTCAATCTGTAAGGCATCGTTGTTAACAAATTATGGCGCGCCCGTTATAAAGCGTAGCATCTTGTTTTGTCTCAACTGAGGCGAGAGACTATTGCTAATGAGTCGTAGGGGCAGTATACAGTATTTCATGATTGGTCGGATCACAACAAATACAAGCGTCGTTTATTGTGCAGCAAGAGCTTCGGGGACAAAGTAAAAGGTAAAAAAGGTTGAAACGCCCCTTTGACCTTTTCCGCGATAGAGTTTACGTGCGGTCGCCCGAGTGCTTATTGTCCTTAATGACAGCCAGGTAGGACACCAAGAAATTACCTTATTTTCAAAGGTTTGTGGCGGTAGTGAGGTAGTGCATCTCTTCGATAATCTTTTTCGCAATAATAGTACTCTTCCAACGACCCAACGACTACACCAGTTGACAAGCCTCACTAGGTAGTACTGCATATGTTGGCACAATAGAGCAGGCGACTTTGACGAGTACTAAATCGGTGTCATTCGCATCAAAGGCAATCCGCGTATGGAGTCGTCGGGCGTGGCATCTCGCTTACATAAAGTGCAAAAAAAGGTTGGAGAGGGGGGAGATAAAAGAGGTCCTTGTAGGACTCCGGCTGTTAGTGCCCTTAGTGGTGAGAACGCATCGCTCTGACGTATATTAAAGAGGCGGTCTTTAAGTTAAGATTTGAGTACGTTAAAAAGAATAGTAGGGAGGGCTAGGTGCGCAACGCAATTTGTGAAACAAGCCCTTGTACCAAAACGCGGTCAAACGCTTTTTCGACATCAAGAAAGAACAGCTCACGTTGCCTCTTTTAAAAGAAGACGCAGGTCGTCCACCCTGTCAAGTGAAGGAGATGTTGAGCCGTGGATTGTCCTTGTCGAAATCCAAATTAAAACTCTGGAGGGGGTGACTCGCGAAAACAAATGCGTTCAAGCGACCCACTATGACCGCCTCCGCTACTTTGCCAATGGCTCACAAGAGGCTGATTATCCTTGTTTGGCGTAGACGCTGGTCGCGGTGTCTTCGGGTTCATCACAATTGTTGCCGTCCTTTAGCGCGGAGGGAAGCTTCCGAGAGCCATCGTAGAACTGGTGAGGCAGCATAGGCATTCAACTGCCACCATTGGTAATTGCATTCATATCTTTACTTTAGTTCTTATCTGTTTGCGTGCTAATACATAAATATAATTTGGAGGTTTAGAAAATGCATTGGGGGCCAGTAAAATTAATTCCACCAAATTAAACAAAGCTGAATGCGCGTGCTAGGTCATAGCATTACCACCCCTTTTAACTTTTCAGATTAAAATAATATCACGCTTGATAAGATATAACCCATTTTAGCTTAGAGGAAATCAGGAGCGCAATCAAAGCGCGCCTCCGTGTCCATTCCAGTGACTGGTATTACTACAGACGATTTCCGAAATAATTTTTCCGCTTGACGTCTATTTACGTCCTCAAGAGTAGTTGGGCTGGTTACCTGAAGGACTGGAGATAGCAGAGTCTATCGAACCCGAGCCGTTCAAAGTATTCCTTAAATCTCTTAAACTTTGTAAATGCGCACGCCCTCTTGTTGCTAGACGCTTTGCTTAACTATCCTCTAGGCAATTAGT